TTATTAACGGATAAAAATTTACTTTGTAATTAATAATTTTTAAGTGGTCGGATACTTTTGCTAGGTGAGTGTACATATCACATGATAGATTAATTATTTTAGCGAAGATATCAAGTTACACAAGTAATTACTTACCATAAACTGTGGGCACGAAGTGCCATTGTACAATAAATATTACGAGAAAATTATGTGATAATATTATAGTTAAAAAATGGTTTGTTATCAATAACTGTTCATGTTAAAATTCCATAACTATTTACCAGTGCAATTTAGAGGACTGTGTCATCCGCATAGTGTGAACCAGTTTTGATACTTAAGTTTCAAAGATACTAGCTCCACTATATCTAGGGGATAAACTATATGTCTGAAATAGATTTCTCATTCATGTGACAATTACAGTTGGATCATTTGTTAATTTCATATGCTCTGTCATTCGTCATAAGTAGTTGTACATAACTAGTTAGGGCAAAGCCCATTGCAAAACAATAATATATACACGAGTAATTTTAGATATCATAGATATCAGCTCCGCTATAACAGAGTTAGTATCAGTGGCAAAGCCACGGGTCTCCAATCCAAGACACATATAATTTTATCGTAACAAATATGTATCTTGTTTATAAGTCAAATACTTCGTACTTATCATATGCAAAATTTACTTATGGAATAAGGGCACTTATGTGCCTACATCAGAGACACTAGCTCTACTATTACTCAGTATAAGTCGATATTAGACCTCAGCCTTACCAGTTTGAATTGATGAACTGGAGAATCACATTGGTAATATGACTTCTGAAACTCTTCACAGTTCTAAAGATATATGTGTCAAAAATACTAGGCTTTATCCATAAATATCAACAAATAGAAAATAATTTTAAATTAGATCTGAGAAATAAAGTGTTTCTATCTGAGTTAGATACCCGCCTTTTCGCAGTAACTGCTCAAAGCCAGAAAAAGTTTAATAACATATACTAATAACATATACTGATAGCATATATATCTTTTTTCTAAGAGACAATGAAGAAAAAAGGGCTGAAACACTAAATCAACAAAAAATGAATCCAGTATTCTATAGTATATAATTGATAAAATCTAATAGGTCTAAATCCCTTAAATTTGATATAAATCACATATTCTCCAAAAACACTATAATACATTAAATTACTTAATCGTTAAATATGGTTTATACAGACAACTGCCCAGTTTTGAGCGAATCTGCATGGAGAGATAATTGTCAACTCCCAGTGATTCGTAAGGGTGAAACTCCATCCGATTGGATGAAACGGATTTGGGATCAGTTAATGAGCTATAAAAAATACAATACCTTGACTGATTATAATAAGCGATATCTTATCGCCAGGAAGATGAAATATTTATGGGAAGGTGATCTTGAACATTCTGTAGAAGTAAGCATAGCAATTTGTTATTCATGTAACAAGCTTGTTTATTCTAAAATAGGAAGTAGTTATGAGTATTGGTTTCCCCATTTCATGGATAAACACTGGAGTACAAATTGTACTGGAAATGTTTATTGCGATATTAGTTATAAAGACTATATGGAGTTTAAAAATAGACCGGAAGCTGAACTTACTAACCCTTTCTATGAAAAATAAGCAATTCGTCGTTATGAATTGTGGGTACAGAATGCTGTTAGAAGAGTTAAACGTGCAAGAGAAGTTGTGAAAAAAATTCAAGCTGTAAATATCATATCTCAAAAATGGTTAGAATATATGTATAGACCAGATGGTATGACGGCTATACAGTTAGCTATGCATTACAAATTATTATGGGCGGTTCGAGAAGAAATGCGTCAAATTAACAATGTATAATATACACATCTATTTATTAATGTATAACTTCGATATAATTTATCTATTTATTTTGTTATCCCCGAGGGCTGGTAACATTTTTTACTTTGATTTTTACATGCCAAGCTATTTTTTTTACACATTAATAAAAACGTGTTTACTGCGCCTGGACACGCGTGTCCAATTTTTCTGAAATTAATAAAATTTACCCGCCTTGTTTTATTATGTACAAATAAATTAGTCTGTTACATTGGCAATTTTCCCCTATCGGGTTCGTGAAAATGTAAATTGCGTTTGTTACTATTGAATGTTATACACATAAAAGCAACCCCATGTGATCACTTGCGTGACTCTTAACATAAATATATTTGTGCGTATCTCCAACTATTATGACTTGATGTAGTGAATCTTTTTACGATATGGGACCCTCATCAATTTATCGGGATCATTTGATACAATACAAGAAGTCTAATATGAGTTTATTTCAAATCTACAAAAAATGAATTATGCATTCTCTATATATACGTCTATGAGACTCTTATAATTCTTAAACATATTGTTACTCTTATATCTCATTAAATCATCAAATATGTCGAACATTAACATCTTAGTCATTCTTGATAAAAAGTCAAATCGTAGAAACTCATAAATAATAGGGGTACGATATGAAATATGTCATTAATTATAACTCTAATTATTGTGGTTATGGCGGTGAACAACTTGAGCGATTATATGAAATCGAAAAACAGTATGACATACGTAATAGTTATTCCACCGAATATGACTCAACAGCAATGGGCAATGTTATTGATCTATGAAAAAATGACAGATTCGGATATGAGTCACCACCTCAGATAAAAACACTATAATTTATATAATTAGGTTATCGAAATAATTATGTAATATGTCATCACAGAGTATCGATAAGGGAACGGTGCTTATATATAAAAAGAAAATAATCGATTTGTATTAACTAAAAACCGCAAAATGAATTGCCTTTTATTTCTTTTTATATTTCCGTTTATATCCATTGCTTGTCTTTTCATAATTGGTACAATTTTCGTGTTCTCGCCCATTTGGATTCCGTTTATATTCATTTTCATAATTGGTACAATTTTCGTGTTCTCTCCCATTTGGATTCCGTTTACAGGGTATATTTTTTAATGCAATGAAAAAAATAAATATATTTTGCAAAAACTATATATACTAATGTCGATCATCGCCTCATTAGACTTTTCATTTTATCTAAAATAATGGAGGAACAAAATCCACCCGAAACACTCCAAAGCCTCCTCAAATGGGGGTACGAGTTTGATCAGGCACAAAAGTTTCTCGGTACAGTTCATAATTTTCTTTATATACATGAATAAATAGCATAGTGGCAATACACGTAGAGTGTTTTGATGTTTGTTTCCTAATCCATTTGTAGCTCGCGTGGAAAAGAACTTCAGGTGGCCCTCCTCGATGCCAGAATACCTCAGACAGAGTGCCTTCGAAAACATCGCTGATGTTGACTTCGAATTCGATGATGAGGTCGGATTTAACCTCATATTTTTCTACAAAGCACTTGACAAAGGTGAATTTGCTGAACATGAAAACGAGTGGGTGACGGTACACAAACAGAGGGTAATAGAATATGGGCAAAGGTATGATGATGAGAAATTGGACGAAACTCTCGAAATCATGCCTGGTGCTATCCAACTCCCAGTTAATCAGAAATATCTACCGCGTAATCCACCAGCAAAGATGGTAATTGTTCAGCGTACTGGAAATGGTGATGACTACAAGGTTTGAATATGTATTCAATCATAGGTTTTAGTGAATTGTTTTATCTTATGAAATTTAGTGAATTTTTTCAAATAAAGGTCAGAGTTCGCGTCAAAAGACCTAATGAAAATTTAATTGCTCAGCTTGAGTACGATTTTTATGACATTCAAAATAACGGCAAGATGTATTCGTGCGTGATTGATACAGGCGCGCCACAAACAATACTACCATATTATATTAAGAAAACACTTGGTGGTGGAAAGGGGTGGAGTACGATTGTAGCAAAAGCTGAGGGTTACGGGTCGTCCACAAAACAAATCTGTGCATGTCGAATGTTTGAAATATCTATCGGCGATAATAATAATTGGTCAAAATGGGTCCAGGCAAAAATTATAGTCTGGGAAAAAAAACCCCAACGATCAGGTACAATGTGCTCTTATTGGTAACGATGTTACCGACAAACTGGCATATGTCCATGAACCGAGACAACCTATCAAATTTTTAAATCATCATGATGAACTCAATCTCGCCCAGTTTGTGAGGGGATGTGCTTGAATCCGAGACCTGTAATGAAAACTACTTTTTATTAATCACACAATTTTTAACATACCTATCAAAGGTATTATGATAAGATTTTAATGCGAAATTTATTGCCTCCAAATTGAAAGTATTTGCGAAATAAAATATTTAATGTATTTAGTCATGTATGATTTATTATAATAAATATTTTTACATCAGTCGAAAAATAAATTTCTTAAACATTAAATAAGCATAAATTACATTTTCAGGTGCATTTAAAGTTTTAACTCTATTCAATAAGACCCAATTCACGAAGATGCTCTGGAATAACTATATATGGGTCTTCGTAATACCAAATATACCTTAAAACGATCCAATTTTCTTCGCACAATTCTTTCTTGAGTTGATCCCGCTTTTGCTGTCGGACAAAATTATTGGGATCTCCTTTATGAAAAAATTCAATATATTTTTCATGTTGTAATCCTTGAACTTCGATAGCAAAGCCATATTCTGGGTAATAAATATCAAGTTCTAATCCTAAAAAATATTTCGGTGTTTTAAGAAAATCAGGTCGACGAATATTAGATGGCATTCCAAGGTATTTAGATATAATTTCACGACAAATGTTTTCACGTTTAAATTTCGAACAAAATGGACACCACGTGCCATCATTTTTTACACAATCTAAACTTGCATACCATTCATGTTTTTTTTCACATCTCCAAAGTAAATGTGTTCTATTATCAATATATATATCACTTAAACATTCTCCATTTTTACTATATGCCAAAGTATTAGCATATTCAATACCAAGTTTTGCAGAATTATATCTACAATAAGGACACCAATTATGGTGATTTTTTATATTATGAAAAGTGGCATACCATATATGACCTTTAGAACATTTCCATCGTAATTGCTCAGTAACTTTGGTAAAATTTTCAGAAAGACATTCTCAATTTTTAGTCTGAGCAAATTGTATTACATCTTTAAGAGTATATCGACCTACTTTTGCACACCATGGACACCATCTTCGATTATTTTTTATATTGTTAAGATTTGCAAACCATTCATGTTGTTTATTGCAACGCCAATGCAATAGCTCTTTACAATTAATATAGGATTTAGAAAGACATTGGCCTTCACGAGACTCAGCTATTTGTATTGCATTATTTAAAGATAATTTTTGAACCATTGATAATTTATAAAACTGTAATTCTTAATAATTACTTTATCTTTAAAATGTGTGATCATGAGGAGGAGATCAATCGTCACGTTAAGAAAGAGTTGAATAATTTATCTCGACAATTGTTTGATTTCAATGAAAAAACCTTTGACTCTTTTATGCAATAAATTACTAAACAGCTTGAGGAGCGGGTTAATGCTAATAATAAATTGCGCAGTGAAATAGAACAACAGAAGTTACTATTGCAAGAGACAGAAAGAAAACTTGAAACTTGAAATCGAAATCTACTTATTAATGGATCTTTTAGTATATCTGAAAAAATAATTATGTGTCGAAGGCATTAGTTCCACATTATTGCTTATTTTACTTATCTAATATTATATCTAATGTTGGGTTTTCACTTATCTAATATTATATTTAATGTTGGGTTTTTACTTAATAAGAAGTGAATTGATTCTTTGGAGATATGCCAGCAGTCTTCCACATCGAGAACTAGCAAATTAGAACAATAATGTGCAATATCATATATTGTTTTATCAGTAATATAAGTACAATGAAAAATAAGATATTGAATATTTGAACACGAATGGACTATATCACACACAGCATTATCTGTGATTCTGCAATCAAAAGACAAGTCTAGGTATCGAAGTTTTACACATGAACATGCAATTGCAGAAATTGATATATCTTTGATAAAAGGTTGGGAAGAGAGGTTTAAATAAATTAGATTGGGATAAGTTTGTACTATTTCAATTACAGATGCATCAGTGAAATTTATATTACGCAAGGAAGCAATGCTTATATATTCTAATTTTGAACAAGATCGTGCTATTTCAAATATGCATTTATCAGTAATAGCTTTACATGCATTAAGACTCAGATGTAGTAATTTTGAACAACATCTTGCAATTTCTATAATCGGTATATTACTATAACCATAACATTGATCAAGAATAAAAAAACATATATTTGGACATGAATGTAAAATTGCACTAAGTAATGTATCTGAGATTTTTAAACCCTCCAATTTGAGATATATCATCTTTGAGCAATAAAGAGACTTTATTTTTTCACGCATAACTCTTTTTAACTTCATCAATCACCAATAAAGAGCTCCAGATATAATTTTACTATACTGGCTTTGTTGATAATCTTCTATAAAAAACTCAATGTGTTCCCATAGAATTGGGGCACTACAGTGATATCAAAAGTGATTGACAAATAAAGTAGGATAGAGCATTCTGTCTTTGGCTAAGAAACTGAATATGTTTTCAAGTAACTCTGGAAGAATAAGAGGATGGGTCATGTCTAGTGTATTATATAAGTATTAGAAAACTTGAAGTGGTTTTTATATTCTTAGTACAAATGGTTAAAAATTTAATATGTGTATACCCATGCCAACCTTTGACTGAAATCTCACTCTATTCATCAACTTGACAGATAGGTACATTCCAACTAAGTGGAAAAATGTCTTGCATACCTGAAATCACACTCTGGTTAGATAGAACATTTATTATCTTTTAATGACTTGATTTCATTTTCTAGATCAAGAGGACTGTCCCATTGAAGTGAGAAAGACTCAGATCTGAGGTTTATTTACATTAATAACTATAAACTCTTTTTGCCTCAGATATCCATCAATAATTTTCACGGCCATGCGTGGATCAGCATCAATATATGGAGCTATAATATCTGCAAGCTTTCGAAGTGAGCCTCCACCATTACAGAGTACAATATGGGTAATATTTTTACAGAAATCTATAGGAATTTTATGAAATTTTTGAGCAGTGTAATTGAGAAAATATTCTGATGTCGATCTTTACTAAAAAATGGAATGATTTTTTTCTGTATAGCTGGGAGGTCAGAGTAAAGATCCTCAAATATCATCAATGTACTTCTTTTAGCATTGAATTTTTTCGGATCTGGAATTTTATCAGATGTAAGTGTAGAAAATGTAACATCTTCGTAATATGGCTTTGATTTGTCTTGCGCAAGATATTTAAAGAAATTTTTAACTATTTTATATTTTGGTTCATTTAAATTATATACTACGAGAACTACATTATCGCATTTAACATTGTGCTCCCTTATCTTGCTGGAAGTAGTCCCTTTGTAACTAGATCTCTTTTTCTTTTTAAACATGTAATAAATTTTGGGTATTATTAACAAGTTTAAAATAATATTGGTCTTATCTGAGTTATTAACCCCTGCGATTACAATGCGAAAAACCCACACTGGTGCATCTTTATCTCCCTGGTATTTCTTTGAGGTTTTTATCTCATCTATATTGAAAATAGCATGCTTCATTTTTTACGAGATAAATAACCCTTCTCTTGTAATTTGCTTTTTATATAAGGAAATAAATCACAGTCGAATTGTATTTCAATAAGATCTATACCTTCTCGCTTGCATATATCTTGTTTTTTTTGATCTCTGATTTTTTGTTGTTCCAAGTCTATCTGGTCTCACTTATGGAACATTGAATTTTTATGGTAATGTTGGACCCCGTTAAATTTCCATGCTAATTTTAGCTCTTTGTTATAACCATTCAAACGCAAGCCCTCTAAAAATTTATCCGAACATGGTGAGAATTTCTTACTGAGTAAATCCTTAAAAATATATTTTGCAAAGCATTCTCCTTTAAAATGTGAACAAACTGGATACCATTCAAACTTTGTTGCAATTAATGGATAAGGTACTTTCCACTGATATTTTCCATTTTTACAAGTTTAGAGATATATATTCTGGTCATTGATTCGGCCAGTTTTAGTTAAGACATACCCACCACGTTTCTCTGCATATACTTGAACTTGATCTAATTTATTATTGGAAATACGAATAAAATGAATAGAACCAGTAGGATGATATTTACACATAAATTCGTCTGGTAGATACTATATTTTTCTGAATTTTTGATGACTTGAAGTTCCTCCCTCTTGAAAGGTCTTTTAGGATTGCAACCTATCAAATAAGCAGTTGATTCGATTGGTTCACCAAGATAGTATAAAACTGGTTATGGTGGATTTTTTTCAGTAATAACTTTTTCAATCTTATAAACACGCAATAACCAGTATGGGTCAGTCGCTCTATGTCTGTAATCACCTTCTAGTTTACCGGGTTTTAATAAATACCTCATTATGGTACCTTTCTGTAATTTTTGTTCATATTTGTCGATAGGTCTTTTAGCTTTACTAGAAGGTTTTAATTTAACTTCTTTCAATGTCATAGCATAGACTGATGTCATACCAATAAGACGAGTTTTACTATTATTTATATAATTGAGAATTTTTTGAAGAGCCTTATTCCATAATTTTGATCGCTCCCCTTCTGTTAATCATCCCTCTATAGCATATTGGATCTTATATATTTTCTTCGCTACATTCTTTTTAAGTACTTTAATGAATGCCAAACTTTCGGAACTGTAAGTATCAACAACTCTTATGACAACATTATATTGTTCCATTCCTTGAGAGAATGATTCACGAAAAGTTGCATCACCATCAGTCATCAACAATGTTGACCAGGTAAGAGGATTGGCAGGATCTTCATATATTTCTTTGATTGCATTCCAAACTTCCAAACTATTTTCAATGTTAGTGAATATCCAGCTCTGAATTGAGTTGCTATATCAATTACTAACAAACTACAAACAAATATTCTTATACCATCTTAATTATTACGAACATGAATTAATATATCACACTGATGAACTTTGTTGAGAATCTTAATCTTCTGAAA